GGCCCTGGTGGTGCAGTGGTTAAAGCAATTGATTGTTAACTGAAAGGTTGGCAGTTCGAAACCACCAGCAGCTCCGTGGGAGAAAGATGTGACAGTCTGCTTCTGTAGATTTACAGCCTTGGAAACCTTGCAGGGATGCTTTGAGTTGGAATTGATTTGATGGCAGTGGGATTTTTTTTTTTTTTTTTTTGGTGTATATTTATACATTCTTGCATTCAGAGGATAAATCTTACCATAAGAAAAATTTGAAAAATACACTGTGGGATTCAGTTATCTAATTTTCATTAGGGATTTTTTGATCTGGGTTTATAAATACTTTCTTTTCTTAGGTAATCCTTAATTTGCTTTTGCCTCAGGATTACACTATTCTCATAAAGTAAACTGAGCACTTTTCACTCTTTTTCAATTTGTATGAGATAGAAATTGTCCTTAGAAGTTTATTAGAACTCAAATGTAAAACTATTTGATCTTGCAGTGTTTTGGGGGACAGATAGTCTCTAATCCTCATTTCAATTTCTTTGATACATATAGGTTTGCTTGAGTTTTGTATTTCCTCTTGCAAATTTTGACATCATATACGTTCTAGAAGTTTATCCACTTCAAATTGACTTTCAAATAACACATAGTTATTCATAATTTTCTTATGTAACAACGATTTTGTTTTATATAGAGTTATTTCCACTTTAGTATGCAATCTTTATAATGCTAAGGAAGTTTCCTTCTTTCTAGGTTGCTGCATTTTTCCTTCTTTGTTAATAATCACAATTAATGCTAAATCTGATACAAGTTTCTTTTTTCCTGCATTAGATAAAATAATTATAGATGCTAAAAATGTGACTCATAACGTGTTTATTTTCTATCTTTCTCTTTCCCTCTTTTAATTTTGCTCATCTTCCTGGTTCTTCCTTTATTGAATTGATTTTTGTTCTTTTATCTAACTTTTCTGGCTTCTGGTTTGAGTTGAATGGCTAGTTCCTTTTCTTCCTCATCTTTTTTCCTCCTGATAAATGAATTTTAACAAATACATTTCTTTTTAAGTATGATTTATTTGGGTCTCACACATTTTGACATGTAGTAATTTCAATGTAGTTCACTTCTAGGAATTTCTTGTTTTCTACAATGTTCATATCATAAAACCTGACAAAATAGAATTAAAGTAAATGACAAAGAAGGACATCACATTTTGGTACAAAGAACCCTAAGTAGGCCAAGTCAACATAGGCATCATCTGTATATACGCCCTTAATACCACCTCAAAATATATCAGAGAACAACTGATCAAAATTCATGTGGAAGTGTATAAATCAACTTTGTTGCAGGAAATTTTAACACACTGTTCAGAAACTGAGAAATCAAATACAAAAGTAAGAGAGATATCGAAGAGCTGAATAATACAATTAATGACCTTGAGCTTTTAGAAACATACTCTCAACAGAGAACTCATTTTCCTGTTGAGCACATAGGGAACACTTAAAAAAACTAATCCATCGTTCAGCCATAAAAGAGGGCTCATTAAATTCCACAGTGTCACTACCATAGAGATGATGTTCTGCATCCCTAGTGTATTAACGTTAAAAATTAATAACAAAATTTTACTTACAAATTCCATTTCTATGAAAGCTAATGGTATAAGTTATGCTTGGGTTAAAAAAATAAATCATATGGGAAACTAAAAATATTTAGATCCCAATAAAAAGAAAATACTACCTGTAAATATATGCAGTAGAGTCAAGCTGTACTTAAGAGTAACATTTATAGCTGTAAATACACATATGAGGAACGAATACAGGCTTAAAAACAATTTTTCAAGTGTATTATTCTGAAAACCTAGAAAATTATTCCCACAGATAATACTTTAATTACAATTTATATGTGATACCTTTTTTATTTCAATACTTCATCATTTGTTTGTCTAATCACCAATATTTCTGTCCTGATTTGTTTTTCTCTTCCATCTGAAAGTGAGACCATATTTTTTTCTCAAACAGAAAAATACAAATGGAAATTAGGAAGAGTCTTTATTTAATGATAATGTGGCAGTTTTATTTGTTTATTTAATGACAAATTGTGCAGGTATTAACCTGATGTATAACTTTTACCCTGCTCTTATTTAAAACAAGGAAACTGGACTAAATCATCCCAAAGACATCTGTCAGCTTTAACATTTTATGATCTCTCTTTTTTTTTTATTTGAACATGGAAAATTTGAAGTAATACCACAATGACTTCAAATGTACCTTCTAATGGATTATATTTCTTAGCGCTGTTTCTGCCTTTTAGGAGCAGTGAGAATTCATTGCACTCGATTCCTTGTCCATGTGCCGGACATGGAATTTCCTCTGGGTCGTATCTTCTGAATCGACACAGCCTTGTAGTTTCAATCATTTGTTACACATAGTTTAGTCTCTTTAACATTTCCTTCTGGAAAATACGGGGCCCTCGTGGCTCAGTGGTTAAGAGTTCGCCTGCTAATCAAAAGGTCTGCTATTCAGACCCACCGTCCACTCCTTGGAAACCCTTTGAGGTAGTTCTACTCTGTCTTACAGGGTTGCTATGAGTCAGAATTGACTTGACGGCAACAGGTTTGCTTTTTCTTGGTTTTCTATAAAATACTCATACACTACACAAGTGAAACATGGGATTTCGATTTCTTATAATTAGAGTCCTTCTGTTCTATTCTGGGTGCAGTGGCGGTTTGGTGGTAGAATTTTTACCTCCCATGTAGGAGACCTGGGTTCGATTCCTGGCCAATATACCTCAAGTACAGCCGCCACTCATCTAGCAATGGAGGCTTGCAAGTTACTCTGATGCTGAACAGGTTCACTGGTGCTTCCAGATTAAGAGGACTAGCAAGAAAGACCTGGAGATCTACTTCTGAAAAATTAGCCAATGACAACCCTATGGATCAAAATTGTTCAATCCCATTGTGCATGGGGTCTCCGTGATTTGGGGGCCAACTCTACAGCAGTTAACAGCTTCTATTCTGGTGTCTATTTCTGTTTCTTTCTTTTTTTCTTTCTTTCTTTTTTTTTTTTTTTTAAAAAAAAACAGTTTATCACAGTCATCTAGAAAATACTCTGATTTTTTCATAGTTGCCCGTTTAATCTGTAATCAATATAAAATATTATCTTGTGAAGAACGATGATTCGGAATCCAGCAAGATTTGGAGTTTACCCCTCTTGTGGTGAGACATCCTTTATCTATTTCTTTGATGTCAGTCAGGTGGGAATCCAAGAAAACCAAGACAACCAAGAACAGCAAGTGTTCTAATATCTTTTTGGCGTCTATTAAATGTGACCAGAAAGTAGGCATCTTCAATCTTCTGAATGGTTCAAAAGACGGAGTACATCTGCTTTGCCTTCTCTACACTCAAGCCCTGTACTCAGATGGTACCAGTGTAAGTCCCCAACCTTCCGGAGGATGAAGACGAAGGTCCCGGAAGTGAGAGGGAGGCTGGATGGCAAAACACCAGGTTCCTGGCAACCCGGTCTTGGGAAGTTCAGACACCAGCCCAGCACAATTGAGATTCTGCTGGTACTGAAGAGGCAGGATTGTTAGTCAACAATGTTTGCCATTCCCCATTTCCAAGAGTCTCTCATACGCACATTTTAAAATTAATGGATACTACAATTTGCTGAACCATGTCCCATTATTGAGCCTTTAAGTTGTCTCCCCCACCCCAATTTTCCGAACGGTAAAAATAGTGATATGACAAGCATTTCTTAAAAATAAATAAAAGAAAGAAAAAAATGTTCCCACAGGCTTTACTTCAATTTTGGTTTATTTTTTATGGGATATATTTTGAGAAGAGGATTCCAAAAATTCCAGAAGTTAAGAAAAAAACGGAAGGTTGTTAATGTATACTGTTCAATTGGTTCCCAGAAGGGTCATAATGTACATTATCAGCAGAGCCTGTTTTTGTTTTTTCATCTGCTAATGTTGAAAAAAAGGAGTCTCATTTTATTTTTCCACTTCTTAATAACTGGTCAGAGTGTACATTTTTTCTCGTGTCTATTTAGTCATTTGTATTCCGTGAACTCACAAATCCATGGGGAGAAGAGGTTGGTATTTTTCCATTGTACTTTTCCTTACCAAATTTTTGGAGCTCCTTGCATTTTTGTGGCTAAAATTTTCCAAGTTTGGTTGTTTGTGTTCAATAATCGTTCCTGTTAATTTTTCCACAGCCACGGAATTAATCCATCACGGAGTCTGTGCAATTTTTATTTATTTTTTTACTTTCGACCCCTCGCACTACGTTCCTAGGTTTACTGAGCAGATTAGCCAGGCTTCCCCACGGTGAAACGCTGGCAGAGCTTTTCTCCTTCTGACCATTGAGACACAGAACTACATTTACCTTCCCCCTGCCACCCTAGTACATCTTCCATTCTATATTAAAATATAAAAATTAAAACAAAAACTATTACCTCGGAAGACTTTTCATTTGTATGGAATACCAGGTTCGTTTAAATTTTCTTTAAAATTACATAAGGTTAAATTACATAGTTTTTTTTTTTTTTAAATTTTTTAAACTACGTGCTTGGATATCTTCAAAATAAAAAAAAAAACAAACCGATTGCTCCTCCTAAAACACTTTTTTTTTTTTAAAGAAATGCTAACGAATTTCCTGGGGCAAGGCTGGGAGACTGTCGCTCTGGGTCTCCGCTGACATCCTGCACCACTGAATTAATTCGAGCTTCCTCGCCTCTGGATTCCACGAGCCTGCAGGCGGGCGGGGCGGGCAGGGGCCACCAAGGCCGGGTCCCCCGGGGTCCAGGACGGAGGCGGGGCCTGCAGGCGGGCGGGGCGGGTCCCCGCGCGCGCTCCCCAGCCCCGCCCCAGCCCAAGTGGCCTTGCGCCCCGGGGGTACGTACTCGCAGCTCAGGTCTTAGCAGCTTACAAAAATCACTTGGACTGTCCCAGTAATAATTGTGCTTTTTTTTTTTTTCACTCTCTCACAAGAGTCATTTACGGGAAAAACGTGGGTCCTTTTCGGGTTTCAGAACAGGACGTGGGCTGGCGCGGCCTGCCGGACTCCGGGAGGGACGCGCACCGCTACCAGGACCCGGCGGTCACGCCCCGTCGGCGCGGCCTGGGCGGCGGCGGCGGCGGCGGCGGCAGCTCAGCTCTGCGGCGGCGGCTTCTGCTCAGCGGCGGCTCGGTGGCTCAGGCGTCCGGCTCTCGGGCCCGCTCCCCTCCGCTCTCCTCGGCCTCTGCCCTCGCTGAGGGCCGCGCTCGCAGCCCTGGAGGACCTCGCGGCCCCCGAGGCGGCCGCCTGCGCCATCTGCCAGCGCACGTTCCGCGACCCGGTGCGCGCCGACTGCGGCCACCAGTTCTGCCGGGCGTGCGTGGTGCAGTTCTGGGCCGAGGAGGACGGGCCCTTCCCGTGCCCCGAGTGCGCCGACGACTGCTGGC